GACTGAATATTTGCATACGGTGAACGATGAAAGATGGCATTACATAGTATGCCTTTTAGAGAAAAAATGCAGTTGTGGGCGGTTCCAAGTCGACGAATTACCGTGCCCACACGTTTGGGCTGTCCTGAAGAGCAAGTGTCTAATGCCCGAAGATTATTGCTCTGATTATTACATACCAAAGTCTGTTGTAATGACATATGAGGTACCCGTGTATCCTTTGCCGGACCGGAAAAAATGGAATATACCAGCACATGTAGCAGATGAAGTTGTATTACCGCCCAAATAGAAAAGACCTCCTGGAAGACCAAAGAAGAAGCGTGATAAGCCCTTCATTGAATTGCTGCAGAACAAAAATCAACATTCGTGTAGCATATGTGGGAAGGAATGACATAATAAGCGTACTTGTAGAAATGCTCCACGTTGAAATTAGTTCACAATCTGACTTGTATTAATGAAAAACAATTTGTTATAGATTCCGGTGTCATTTCGAATATATTTTGGATATACTTAGTTGGTGTATTAAATCTGAATACGTAATTAAAATACGGCTGTTGCATCTTCATTATATATGAATATAGATGAATACAATCATTGAATACATTGAACTGATGATTCTTTTTGGAATACATATAGTACAACAGAGAGTTAATATGATTTATGAATGTTAAATAGATGTATTCAAATACACTTGAATACAAATTATGACAATCTGTTATTACAATCAGTTATATACAAAAGCTGTATTCACAATACAGTCGAATACATATCAATGCAATATATCATATAAATATGAAGGTCTACAAACACCTGCTGAAAATATGTGAACATAACCTGGTGAATACATATAAATACAACTTAATGAATATAGATAAATATATCATGTTGTATCTTCATTATATATGAATATAGACGAATACAATCATTGAATACATTGAACTGATGATTCTTTTTGGAATACATATAGTACAACAGAGAGTTAATATGATTTATGAATGTTAAATACATGTATTCAAATACACTTGAATACAAATTATGACAATCTGTTATTACAATCAGTTATATACAAAAGCCGTATTCAAAATACAGTTGAATACATATCAATGCAATATATCATATAAATATGAATGCCTAAAAACACCTGCTGAAAATATGTGAACATAACCTGGTGAATACATATAAATACAACTTAATGAATATAGATAAATATATCATGTTGAATACTGACTTATACAATAAGTTGAATACATATCAATACAACATATTGCATACATACTAATACAACCTAAGACTACTCTAACATTATCTTCACCGATGTATCAGAATCGGTGATGTGCCTAAGAATCTTTGAAGGTGCTTCGCTCTCGCTTACGGCATCAACGTCTATCTTCCGCATAGCATAGTCCCAAAGGAGTGCACCATATCTTTGACGGAGTAAAAAGGCATCAAATTTTACTTGTGGAACCAGCCCAACTGTGCTAAGAAACTCTGCGTATGCCACGACAGCTGATGAAATATATACAATTGAGTATAAATGAGTGTAGATGAATACTAAAAAATACAACTGGATACAGCTGATGTATTTGTATGAATAATACAGTTGAGTAGCACTGTTACTAAATGAATACACCAAAATATAACTGAATATAGCTGCATAATACACTTAAATACAACTAACTACTGTTGAATAATACACTTAAATACAACTGAGTACATTTGAATACAAGTGATTACGTACAACATGTTTAATACATCTGAAATTGTGTTCTTTAATATGTATTATCTGAACTTGAAAGATACATCTGAAAGAATGCTGCTGAATACAACTGAATACAGCTGAATTTGACAGTTAAATACAACTGAATCCAGAAAAAAACATCTGAATTCTTTTATATAACCTACCATCAGCATACATAAAGTTTCTGAAATTGACATTAACATGTTCATTAACTAAAACTTGTTCAAGCAAAGTTACTTGGTATTAACACATACTTGAATCCTGTAAGATAAATATGTATTCAAACTGAAGAATAAGCATGAATACTCATGAACAAACCATTGAATGATTGAAAAGTTGCAATTGTCATACGCGAACATTGTTGATAAAGTGTTAAGTTTTTCAAACTAAATATGAACTACACCAAAAACTACTCAAAACAGTATTCTTCTTGAAACTACACTCCAAAACTACAATAACCTAAAGCTACTCTAACACTATCTGCATCTTTGAATCTGACTCCGTGATTTGCCTAGCAATCTTTGAAGGTGCTTCATTCTCACTTATGGCATCAGCGTCTATCTTCCGCATAGCATAGTCCCAGAGGAGAGCATCATATCTTTGACGGAGTAGATTGGAATCGAATATTGTTTGTGGAATCTCACCAAGAGTGCTCAGAAACTCTGCGTATGCTGCAACATGCACCCCACAATCCCTAAAAAATAATTGATTGAAACAATTAAAAATAATTCATACAATTAGATTTGTATATAACATACAATAATGATGCTTGAATACTTACATGCTCCCAGCTTTCTGTTGAGGCAGATCTGAAATGAAAAAAACTTTAAATGGATCATTATGTGACTTGTTAGTGTATGCTGAGTAAGCAGACCAATCTATGCCTTGACTATCTCTGTAAAAGCCACTGATTGATAGATACAGAGGTACAAGCTTAGCTAGTTTATCAATCTCAGAAACTACATGAGCATCATGACCTGCAGATCTGTACGAGTCATACACTTTTATGCATCTCTCCTTGAATGAGACAACAGCCAATACCCAGTGTAGTTTGTCCTTCAAATTGACTGGTATCATGACATTATCCACAGTATGCCAAGGTACATTAGCATGCAATCTGTAGCCTCTTATGTACTTACATACCACATCCTCTTCTTTGGCTACATTAGCATCACTATCTGTATCAGCATACCTGTCGAATATTTCAGCGATTCTTATCTTGAATATACAATCAACAGTTGTATACTTGAAGTTGCTTGTTTGATTGTACTTTCCCTTCTTTCTCAAATAGTAGAATATGAAGTCAATATGCTATACACAAAAGAGTTCAATACATGGTGTGAGTCCAATTAATCAAACTATTAAAGAATATAGCTGAATATAGAGAAATACATATCAAAAATACAGTTGAATACAACATCTGATTATGTCTTACTACATCTGATTAAAAAAATTCAGTTTTTTTAGAAAATATGTTAAGCTGAATAATATTGAATAATACAGCTGACTACATATGATTTAAACAATTGAATATGACTGTCTACAGTTGAATACAGCTGAATACAGATAAATTAGGTTGAATACAGCTGACTACAGCTGATTAAAGCATTTGAATTCAACTGAAATATAGCTAAATATATCTGAATGTAGATGTTGAATAAAGCTGAATACAAATTCAGTTGAATACAGCTGATAAAAGCATTTGAATACAGCTGAATACAAATTCAGTTGAATACAGCTGAAATTTATGAAAAATCGGTATAAAATTATAGAAACAAAATGATGATAAAGCAATATCGAAGAAGATAACTTACCGGGCGCATAAAAATCGGAACTAAAACAGTGAATCCCTGAAGATTTTGAATGTGGGATTGATAATGGCAGAGAAATAGAGAATTCGGGTGGGAGAAGATTTATGAAACGTGGGTTTGTGGAAAAAGAGAGTAAAGTGTATGCAAAAAGAGAGAGAACGTGGTTAGAGCAGATATACGGTGATTATGTGAGAGAAAATACAAAATAGGAGAGAGAAAAATATTATTTAGCATATATGGTGCCTTAAATGTAGGATTTAACTATAATTAGATATTTTGCTATAAATGATAAAAGGTATTTATAGGATGTAATAATTTAAAATGGTATTTATTTAAAATAAATAGTGTACTAAGGTTTTCTATAGGGCGTAAAATTTTCTTTAATTTACTTCCTCACGGGCTCAAACTTATTCGGCCCCTTACTTGTGAAACGATGTATTAATTTCAGGCCCACCTCAGAGTAATGCTAAATGTCTTTTCTTGGTTTGAAATATTTAAATTCTTCCATTCAATTAACGAGGAATTAACCTAAATAACCTTCCATCTAATCGATTAAATTGAATATAGTTAGAGAATATATTATATATGTATTATCTATGTATGAAATATTTATAACCGTATATCGTTAATGTATAAATATATGTATATATCGATTAGGAAAAGTAAACGGTGCTATTTGTGTAAAAATCCCATTCAAACTATAAGCTTATGGTATCCTTTCAAAAGTCAATGAGGTTTATCCAAACTAATTGAGCATTGCTTTTCTTATAGTCTTTTTCTTTCATTTTTGGCAGTGAAAGTGAGCTTTTACGGTTGCACTAACTGATAATAGCCTAAACTTGCAATCAGAAGATACTCTAATCTCCAAATTTTTTGCTTCCATTTCCTTGGGATTATTTCCGTTTCCTTTTTCATATTCAGCATTTTTAACGTTTTTTAAACTTTATCTAAATCTTTGATGCAAACGAAAATGAATCTTAAATGTTGCCAAAGAATTTTGCAGTTCATGAGATGTACATTAAAATCAGAGATTGGGCTGCTTATAATAACTGAATATGTAGTACTAAGAAACACAGCTGATTTCATATTTATTACTATAAGGTTGAGTTACTTTTGCTAGGTCAAAATCTTTATCTTTACCTTCTTTTCTTTTTTTTTTCTTTCTTTTTCACTTGATCATTTTGCTAAGCACTCGGAAAAATATAAGTCCACTTGATATTAAATGTGAATAGTATTTTGGAGTACTTCTTTAATCCATATCCGCAATAAGATAATATAAAAATATGTGTATTGTTGAAAATGCAAAGATAGGAGAGGATAAATTGGGTTCTTGAACGACGGAGAAAGGAGCCAAATGTTAGATTGTGGCTTAAGTAATAGAGTTTTTTAACTACTTATTTGATGAATGAGAGTAACTAATGTCAACCACTCAAAAACTACCAGTCCATAAGGTTAATTAGTTGTAAATGAAAAAGGGTGAAGAGATAAACAGAATTTCCTAAATATTAATTTGCAATGGAGAAGCGATCTTGTTTAATATCTTATAATTAAGAAAATACCCAGGATTAAGGTATGTTACTATGTCTCATGATAATGACTAATGAATTCTTTAAGTTTCATGAAGATCACATTTTTCTAATATCCATATTTATGTTAGTTTTTTGAATGTTGAACAAATTTGCATGTCCAACTTTAATTTCAATTGATTCTTAACTGCAGCCAAATGTTTTGAGAACAATATTTCATTTGAACAACAGAAAAAATATGAAACAACAATCACGATTGTTTTGGGTTTTAACACAAGAGATTCATTTCTTGCAATAACCTGTGAATAAGTAAATATAACAAGGGTCTCACAATCTGATGATCATTTTTAATTTATTTATTGTTGTTAATAGGGTAATAAACAATGGCATTAGAAATTAATAAGCAAAAGATATGGGAATCTAATAATCGTAAAAACAAGGAAATTTAAAATAATATATGTCGAGACAAGTACAGGGATCTGCGTTAGATCAATTTCACTTGCTACAAATCTTATAATGTGATGAAAGTGTTCCGTGTATTATGTTTTGAGTTTTTTTTCTTAAAGGGGCATATTAAATAGGTTTTCTTTTTTATCATATGGTAATCTAAATAAAAGGTGATAGTTAGGTTGTTAATTTTCCAATAATGAGCCTGATAAATTAAAAAAAAAAAAATTAATATTCCACGTGCTGTAGATTCCCCTTAACTCATTTAGTAGGCAAGGGAGGATGGTTGTACTTTTGCAGCCATGCACGTAATGATATTTAATGAAGTGAAATAATAGATTATTTATGTGAAGTGCGAGCATAATATGTCTAATTGAGTCATTCCTATTAGTGGCAGAGCTATGTCTGATGAGGGGTTCAATTGAATCCCTTTCTCGAAAAATTATATTACATATATTGTTAGTAGAAAAATATTATATATATATATATATATATATATATATATATATATATATATATATATATATATATATATATATATATATATATAACTTGTTAAATTCTTCTTACATAAATAAAAATTTTACTGTAAGATTTCTTGAATCCCTCGTTATAGTTTCGAGCTTTGCCACTAATTAAGCAAAAGGTATGGCAATAAGCAGCTAAGCTAGAAGAGAGAAAGTTGAGACACGGAGAAAACACGTGCTAACGAGAAGAATTACTCATTTTTAACTTTTAAGCAGCTTTTTCTATTGATAAGTTAAACAAAAAGAAATTCTAGAGGGTCGCTTTTAAATACTGTTTTTGTTGTTAAAAAGAAATTCGTTTTTAAAAAGAAATTCACAGGATTTAGTTCAAAAAGTTTTTGTAGAGCCTAATTTTTTTATTTTTTCTTTTACTTAAGCATTATCGTATTTAATCCTCTTTTTTAATATGTTTGCTTTTACTATTGTAGACTCGAAAAATAAGTTGAGAAGGGTAGAATTTTCTAAAAGACATATCTTTATTAAGTACATGACTAATATAAGTATGCTATAAATAATAACTTAAAATATATTAGATGCACTCAATTCGAGTTTGTATGCTATGAATAATAACTTAAGATATAGAGAGGAAGATAGTAGTGGAAGAGTTAGAACGGTAAGATGCAAAAATTATTTATGACTAATAATGCATAACTGAGAGAGGAAGATAGTAGTGGAAGATTAGAACTAACTAAGATATTAAACCAAATTGTGTTTAATCCGATTTAATATATATATAAAAAAAAAACTTAATAAAAATTTACAGAAGGAGGTTGTTCGCACTGAGTATTAGAAAAATACCTTATATTCTTCAGTGACAATTTATCGGATGATGTTAATAACTCTACTTTAGAATTTCAAAGAACCACCAAAGATGCTACATTTTGCTTTTTGTTTAACTAACAATGACCGTAAGGTTGAGAAGATTTTTTTGCACTGGATGCAATAAATTATATACAATAATTTATCTATTACAAAAAAAAAGTGGACAAATGTAAGAGCAGACAATATTTAATATAATGCCTGGTACAAGTAAAATCTTAAAATTAACAAAGTTATCACAATTCACAACCTCCATACTTTGTGATCATAAAATAATTTGAGAAAGATGAAATTACTAACCGAAAAACAACCCACGACTGATATATACATATCATAACTCCCTCCATTTTCTACAATCAATCTCCAATTACTCTTTGTTTCACAGCTACATTCTCCAATAAAGTACTAGTCTTTCCTATGCTTCTCTTACATTTCCAAAACTGAGTGAACCTTTCTTGAATTTATACTAAAGAAAGTGCTAAAAAGTTCCAATATTTAATGCAGGAATATGGCTAAATTTGTGATTTTTCTAGTTGGTTTGCTTGCAATTGTCTCATCTGCTAATGGGAATGATGGAGGAGGTGGGTGGATCAATGCTCATGCTACCTTCTATGGAGGTGGTGATGCCTCTGGTACAATGGGTATGCAACATTTTTTTATATGTATATATAGGCGTATATATAGTTCAAGCTAAAACCAAATAATAAGTTTAATTGTCGAGAATTTATGCAAGGGAATCCAAAAAAAAAACTCTAGAATGTCACATTTGAAATTTGAACGTGTGACCTGAGGCAATATTTGAATATCTTTGCCATTATACTGAAATCTTCTATCATGCTAAGGAGATTCAACAGTTTATATATAACAAAAGCTCATGTTTGCCCGATTCCCGCAATATAATTTTCTAATGAAGGAGATTCAATTGAACCTCTTGGCTCTAGTACATAACTCCGCCCCTGATTGAACTCACCATAAATCTGAATCTGCTTGTTTACATGCATTTCCAACAGGTGGTGCTTGTGGTTATGGGAATCTATACAGTCAAGGTTATGGAACAAACACTGCAGCTTTGAGCACAGCTCTGTTCAACAATGGGTTGAGTTGTGGATCTTGCTATGAGATTAAGTGTGTGAATGAACACAAATGGTGCTTACCTGGTTCCATTTTGGTTACAGCAACCAATTTCTGTCCACCAAATAATGCCCTTTCTAGCAATGCTGGTGGATGGTGCAACCCTCCCCTTCACCATTTTGACCTTTCTCAACCTACTTTCCAGCACATTGCACAATACAGAGCTGGAATTGTCCCTGTTGCTTATAGAAGGTATGTTCAATTGAATTGTCCCTGTTGCTCAACTTTATTTTCCTTCTAATTTTTCTAGGATAGTTTCTTGTTAGGATTTATCTCATATACACTCATGTTAAAAAGAACTTTTGCACCACCAGTGTAAACTTTTCCATTGGGCATTTTTCTGCAGGGTACCCTGCAGAAGAAAGGGAGGCATCAGGTTCACCATCAACGGACACTCTTACTTCAACTTGGTACTAGTGACCAATGTTGGTGGTGCTGGTGATGTTCATGCTGTAGCAATAAAAGGATCAAGAACTCAATGGCAGTCTATGTCAAGAAACTGGGGTCAAAACTGGCAAAGCAACAACTATCTTAATGGACAAAGCCTTTCATTTAAGGTTACTACAAGTGATGGAAAAAGTGTGGTATCTTACAATGTTGCCCCAGCTAGCTGGTCTTTTGGGCAGACTTATACTGGTGGTCAATTCCACTGAAAATGAGTATATCATAGTACACACTAAATTGTTCACTAGTATTAAGTATTGTGATGTTAGTACATAATTTTACTCAAAGTTAGTATATAAGGTGTATATGGCCTGCAAAGTCAAAAATGAAGAGGGCATAGTATAAAGTTGTCCTTTGTCATTTTAATTTGAATAAGGGTAGCCCAGTTTTGGGAACCTATAATTCTTGAGGCCATTGTTTTAGGATTTCTTTAATTTTTGTATCCTTTTTTTCCTTCTGTTGCAATACAGAAGAGGATTGCAGTGGTGGACTGTTTTACCACCCGCAATTAGGAGTGTCTGTATGAGTTGGAGAATTTTGAGAACGTTTCTTTCCCTAGCTTTAGCTGGAGATGGAAATGGTTGCTTTGTGTTACTATGTAATAATCCAGTTAACTAGTGCAGTAATGAGCAATGAACATGATGCTCATTTATTAAACTTGTTCTTCATTCTTCTTTTATAGTAATATATCTTCTTCCATTTTTACTTTTCTTCTTTTACCCTAGATCATTAAGTTGTCAATACAGTACTATGCTCTATTTTAAAAGGCAAAATTGGGACTCGCCCGGGGCGAAGCACTCGTAAAACGCCCCTGGGCTTATGTGTGGGCCTTAGTTCCGTGAGGCTTACGCCTCGGCCGTCGGGGCTTACGCCTCGGACACGCCCAACCCCCAGCGTACTAGGCTCGCCTAATAGAACTTTATGCAATTGAATGTAACTAACCTTGTAAATGCATAAATTTTCTTAATAAATCGTTGACTATTCAAAATTACTTTTTTCTTAATCATAAATCATTAAGTTGAGAGTATTTTATGTCATAATTAAAATAAAAATTATTGCATGTTATCCACTAAGACTGCTATGATAGTAAACTTTAAATAGATTATTCATTTAAAAAAATTTATTTATTAACTTTTGTTATGTCTTTATTATATAAAGTCCATAATTGTTTTATAATTATTTTCCTAAATATTATTTTTTTCATGTTTACGTGATACAATACTTATTAATTTAATAGCTTAGTATTAGCTATTAACTATTTACAAATAATTAGTTATCATGGTATTGTATGGTGAATTATGTGTCACTTTATTAACTTGTTGAAACTCAAAAATAAATGATGCTAGCGAATCATATTTAAATTGTGAATAATATTTTTATATAAATTCTCCGAAAGCATATAGAATGAAAGGAGTACTTTATAAAAATTATATCAAATTATAATATCGAAATTCTTTCAAGATTCATTACTCCTTAAGAGATACGTATAAAACTTCGTATCGAATACATTACTTTTGTTGTTTGAGTTGTAACAACGTTGCAGCTAATTTGCATATTATGATATATGTTATACTTTTCGTATTATTCATGTTTGAATTATAATTTATAAATTATTTATTATAATTTTATATTTTTAATGTAATTTTTATAATTATTTTTTATTTTATACTATCTTAAAATTCTTGAAATTAGTAAAATTTAAAGATCCGTGGGACTTACGCCCCATGTCTCGGGGCTTACGCCTCGCCTCGTCAGAGGTAAAACGCCTCGCCTCACGCCCTCGCCTTTTAAAACATTGGTACTATGTATCGAATTTGATGGGATAATTTTTTTTTTTCTTCTTTTTTTTGGTTTAATCATATGGTATCCGAAGTCCATTGGCCCGACTAATTAATCGAGATTCACGACTTCTCAGGACTCCAATGTGAAACTTTGATTAAGGGTGAAGAAATCTCAACCATCCCACCACACCCCTTGATGATGAATACATAACAAGCCGAATAGGTAACCAGTCGTTGGTCCAGCCTTCATGGGCCACGAAACTTTAACTTTGTAGGGATAGAAGAATTAGCCCAAATAGCCTCCAATGTATGCCAAAATTTTACTGTATAGCCAGTTTTCGGACTGGTTAATCAAAAATAGCCAGCGTTTACCAAGTCAATGAAAAATAGCCACCGTTTTGCTGCAATAGAGACCGGTCCAGCATAATATACTGGAGTTTGGTGCACTTGTGTATGAACTCCAGCATATTATGCTGGACCGGTATACTTTGCTGGCTCCAGTATACTATACTGGAGTCTGGAGCACTGGTGCTCCAAACTCCAGTATATTATACTGGACCATTATACTTGCTGGAACTCCAGTATATTATACTGGAGTTCCAGTGTACTTATGCTGGAGTATGCTGGAACTCCAGCATAATATACTGGAGTATTTTTCGGGTTTTGAACAGTATTTTCGCTCAGATTTATCTTTACATAAAAAGTGGCTAAATTTCGATTACTTTTAAAATTGGGCTATTTTTGAACGACCAGTTGTAAATCTGGCTATTTTTAAAAATATCCCCTAAGGTATCTCTAAACTGCAGAAGCCCATCGCAAGACTTCAATGGGCTAACAAAACTAGATAGGTTATGGTGCTGTGCACATTGTTGTTTGTGCTATTTTTCACTGCTATCACAAAGGTTTTAGCTAAGAAGATATTTTCATTCTAGTGACAAGGTCAAGCACTTAACACGACATGATCACGGAAAAGGAAGCAGCACAATCTAATTAATGTTCAAAACATATTAATGTTTCATAAAAAAAGTTTTAGAAGATTAGGTGCTATCAACTACCTCTATGTCTCGACTATCATAAAAGTAGCTTGATTCTCATTGAAATGAGAAACTAATTTTAATTACATAATAGAGATGCCTCCGAATTTAACCAAATTATTCACTACAAATAAGCAAAGAGAGGTACTATTTGCGAACTTTCAAAGGTACTTGCATCACTTGCGACCAGGGGTGACAATTGTTGGTATTATTATACTTCATAATGCAAATCCAAAGATTTTTTTGTGATCCCTTTTTCTTCTTTACGTCTTTGTCTTTTGTGAAAGACAACGTGTCTCTCGTTGGTTGTGAAAAGTCTTTTCCTTCTCTACTTCTTTATTTTTTGTGAAAGACAAAGTGTCCATCATTGGTTGTGGAAAGTCTTTTTCTTCTTCTTATATTGAATTGCTCTTTGTTAGGCTCGTAACGAGCTAGAAAAAGGGAGTGGTCTCTAAATAGTTAATTAAATTCTCATTTTAATATTTTTGAAATTATAAATTTCCTTCAACTTAACTAGCAAAACTTGAACTTTACAGAATAATAATAAGGTTGACTCTGCTGGTTGCAGATCGTCTCATAAGATGCAACTTACCTAAGTCCCCATATCAACCACGCTGCTGGACCTACAAAGCCACTAGACATACATGCGCTTGTACAATAAAATGTACAGCAAGTGTAGTATGAGTACGAAAACAACACGTACCTAGTAAGTATCCAGTCTAATCTCGAAGAAGTAGTGACGAGAGGTCGACTCCGACACTTACTATGGCCAACAATAATATACCAATAATATGATAAATTATGGATTTTTATAAGACGACTGCAAACTCAATAACATGCAATAGGTAAACAATTCTTTTGTTAATAGGAGATTTCCAAATTTATTTTTCTTCTTTTAACAATTTATATCTCCGGCCAATGAGACCACATCAAATATCAATAATTCTTAAACAATCAATTAAGTCATGCGCAAATCATGTTGAGGTCGTACGGCCCGATCCAACATAATTTAAACTGTGCACTGCCAGAGGGTCGAACGGCGCGAACCATAGATGCATCTATTTAATCTACCGAAGCGTTCGGCCCGTTCCACTAATAGAAAACACAATTAAACAGTCAACAAAGAATTCATCGAGGAGCAATTATCCAAGGAATGTAAATCCCCTTTTACCGGTCAAGAAAAACGAAGTTTAACCTCTTAAAAATTCATTTACCAAGTTCTGTATGATTTAAGCAATTTAAATTGACAATAAGGTTACAAATATCGCAAGTATAGCATGCTCTTGGGTCCTAGACTACCTGGATTTAAGCATAATAGTAGCTACGCACGGACTCTCGTCACCTCGTGCGTACGTATACCCCCCCCCCCCCCTCCAAATAGAAGCACATATTAAATTATTTCACCTATGGGGTTAATTCCCTCTTACAAGGTTAGAAATGAGACTTACCTCGCTCCGAAATTCCATAATCGGCTCCCAAGCCCTTCCGACAACTCAAACCGATGCCAACGCTCCAAAACTAGTCAATAGATGAGTAAATCCATAAATATGTACTCTAATATTCATTATAATCCTATTTACATCAATTTCCAATTCCGTTCGAAAAGACGATAAAAATCACCCTCGGGCCCATGTGCCCGGATTTCGAAAAAAATTGAAAAATAAACTTTACCTATAATCACACGAACTCAGATATATAATTTATTTCCAATTTCATGTCCAAATTCGTGGTCAAAATGCAAAAATACCAATTTCTAGGTTTTCCTTCAAAATCTCAAAATTTCTACAATTTTTCATGTCTAAATCCATATATAAACCTTGTATTTAACTCAAAACTAGTAGAAATCACTTACCTCTTGATGATGATGGAACCCCTTTCAAATGCTCTCAAAAATCGCCTAAGACCAAGTGGAAAATGAGGGAAACGGGCTAAGTATCGGAATAAAAAGCCCTTGGCTGCAAAGCCAAGTTGTCCCTGCTCAGTTTCTTCGCAATTGCGAAGGGGGCAGCATCGCAAAAGCGATTGTTTTCCTCGCAAATGCGATCTTTCCCCTCAGCTCCTAGGTTCGCAAATACGAACCTACCTCGCAAATGCGATTGTCTCATTTGCAACCAATACCTCGCAAATGCGATCATACTAGAACCAGAAATTCCAACTTCTTCACAAAACACTCTGAAGCTACTCCGAAACTCACTCGAGCCCCCGGGGCTCCAAACCAAACACCTACACAAGTCTAAAAACATAATACGAACTTGCTCGAGACCTCAAATCACATCAAACAAAGTCGAATTCATGAATCACACCACAATTCAAGCTTAATGAACTTTAGAACTTCAAACTTCCACATTCGATGCCGAAACCTATCAAATCACGTCTGTTTGACCTCAAAATTTGCACACAAGTCACATTCGACATTACGGACCTACTCCAACTTCCGGAATCAGAATCCGACCTTAATATCAAAAAGTATACTTCCGGTCAAACTTCACAAAAACCTTCAAATTTCTAACTTTCGCCAAATGATCCCAAAATGACCTACAGACCTCCGAATCCACTTCCGGATGCGCTTCTATTACCAAAATCACCATACGGATCTATTTCCGGACTCGGAATCTCAAACGGACATCGATAATATTGAAATGCACTTCAACCCAAATTTATGAGATTTCCTCCAAAATGCCAACTTCCAAAAATAGGTGCCGTAACGCTCCCGAGTCATCCAAAGCGATCCGGACATACGCCCAAGTCCAAAATCATCATACGAACCTGTTTGAACCTTCAAATACCGATTCCGGGGTCGTTTACCCAAAAATCAAACCTTAGTCCATTCTTCCAACTTAAAAGCTTCTGAAATGAGAATTTTT